AAGAACTGCCACCCAAGAATCTCTACCCACCAAAGCTGTCAATCAAATACGATGGTATAATCAAAATATTCCAGAATAAACAGAAGCTAAGGGATTTTGCCAAAGCCAACCCTGCTGTGAAAAACATCCTAAAGGAAGTTCTGTGGACTGAGAACCAAGAAGAACACCTAACAACTAGAGAATGACATACATGGCAGCATCAACTTGAACTCAGTCAACAAATGAAAGAGTCCAGAACAGAATAAAATTATAAGAACAGAGGATCTGGGAGGTCAGTGTATGATCAAAACAATCACAATGTGAAAGAAGGTAAATGCAGAGGAACAGAGAGCCAGGTGGTGGGAAGGTCAGGTAGATTACTGGATAAAATAGACTGCCTTAAATGGAGGGAAGAACTAATGGAATGAGCTCTGGTAGCGTAGTGGTTAGAAATCAGGCTGTGAACCTTAAGGTCAGCAGTTCAAAACTACCAGCTGTTCCGCGCGAGAAAGATGAGGCGTTCTGCTCCTGTAAAGATTTACAGCCTCAGAAACCCTGTACAGGGTCGCTATGAGTCGGAACCAACTCCACGGCACATAATAACAACAATGGGGTTGGGGTGGGGAGTTTACTTTGGGTGTTGGGGAGGGCAATACAAGAAGGGGGAAGGAGGCAGAACAAGATAGATAGGGGAACACTGAGACAGGTTTGCATAGCCTAGTGGGGCAGAGGTAAATAGTGATGCATACTCAACCTTGGAACAACAGGGCTCTGGGATACAGGGATCTAGGTATAGCTTGAAGAAGGTAAATAGTACTAAAATCCTAGACTACCTTATGAATATTAGTTTCCCTTGCCTACTATTGTACAATAGACACTTGAGTGGGATAAAAAGGAATGTTGGGAAACATGATTAGAGAAAATTGGTAAACCCACCTTCAACCTATAACTGATTGGAATATCTAAAAGGGGTTCTACAACTTGCCCAGTGAAATAGGCCTTGTACAAAGCCTTCACAGAGTATAGGACCTTAGGTGGAATCCTGAGTCCCATCCACAACCTTGTGAGGTGAGACATTCCCAATAGAAAGGACAAGCAGACTGGAACAGCTACAGTGACAGAAGATACATCTTCATGATGAACCTGCCCTACACTCAGAGCGGTTGTTACTCTAAATACCAACAGAGAGGGAAAGAGTCTTCAAATCAAGTATCAATGCTATCCACTCTGTACACAAGGTAGATAGGGACGGGCAACTTAGATACTAGCTACCTAAAATGAAGGGGCAATAGAGGCACAAAGTGACTGGCTTACAAGGTTTCAAGAGGGAGTTTAGTTTCAAGAGTATGGGGGGAAAGAAAGAGTCCCCACTGAACAGCTGTCATCCTGTCTAGATGGGGTCTGGTGAAAGGAGATGAGGATAAGATTCGTAAGATTCAATAGTGAATAACTGTTATCATGACTAATCACGACTGTCACACTTGTAAAGGTATTAGTTTTGTAACACAAAAAGGGGAGTGGTTAATCTTACAGTCCAGAAATAGAGGACCCTAGGACCATCAAGAGAGGAACGCACAAGCAGAATAAGGGACCTTATCCAGAGAAGCAGCAGCGCCAGAGATGGAGGCAGAGATGTTGGCATGGAGAGGGGGAGTGGTTGAGGACTCCAGATTCATGGACTAAGAAGAGAAGGACTAAGAGCTGGTGTCCTGGAGCAGGCTTGCAGAATGTGCCCTTTGGATATGTAAATTATTATATATGCCTGAGTGTTTTTTTTTGTTTGTGTGTTTTTTAAAAAGCTGAAGTGGATAGAGAGAAATACTGTTACCTAATGGTACATGGACGGGATTATAATCAATGTAATGAAACAAGGTATATGATTTGTTAAATGGAAAACTGATGATATGCCCTGTAAACTTTCACTCAATCCACAATAAAAACCGTAAGTTAAAAAAAAAGTGCTTACTGGTTAGATAGACCAGTGGGACCCATCGGTCACGTTCCAGGTCTGGAACTGAACTCAACCATGGCTCTGTTTTCAAACACGCACAATAGACAGGTCTAGCTCCGCTAGTATAGTGGTTACAAATCGGGCTGCTAACCTCAAGGTCGGCGGTTCAAAACTACCAGCCATTCCACAGGAGAAAGATGAGGCTGTCTGCTCCTATAAAGATTTACTACCTCAGAAACCCTGTGCAGGGTCGCTATGAGTCAGAACCGACTCCACGGTACTTAACAACAAGGGGAGCAAACCTAGTGAGGTATGTGCACCATGAAATTGTCTACCTTTGAGATCAAATAGACAGTGTATGTTCAGAAGGGTCAGGAAAGGAGGAGTGGACACAGCAAACACAGGAAGTGGGAAAAGTGATGTTACATTGAGGGGACTGTAACCAACAAGATGACAAAAAAGATGTAAGAATTGGTGAATGTAAAATGGAAGAACTGCTCTGCAAACCTTCAATTCACAAAAAAAAGTTTAAAAACAAAAACAGTAATACCTCTCACACTTATTTCTTCCTCCTATTGGAGTGTGGCTCTGTGTGGGTTAATGCGCCAGAATGCAAAGCCTTTTGAACTGTAAGGTCAGCTGTTCAAGATCACCAGTCGCTCCTCGGAAACCCTATACAAGGTCACTATGGGTCAGAACCGACTCGATGGCACTAAGCAACTACAACTGCATTAGGGGGGAAAATTAACTACACTTTACAAAGCAGCGCTTCCAAGTACCCAGAGAGTTAATGCTCAAATCCTGTAGAATTTTAAAGATGGTGCCATGTAAATTCACAACTCAATTTTTCAGACACATGTACACTGGAGAACGTCTCCTGACATTTGGAATGACAGGTTTTTAAGATGGCCAACCACCAGACTCAAACACTATTCCTCAGAGAAACTGAAACAAACGGAGAAGCAGAGAGGTTGGTTAAAGGGGTTGTCACTATTTTAAGTAAGAGAGGCCAAAAACGAGGGGGGCCAGAGAGATAAAAGCATTCCAGCAGCAAAAACGATCAAGTCAGTTATTCAAAGCTGAGCCACAAACAACACGCTGCTCTTGCCCACTCAAGCCAGGTTACACTGCGTACAAGCACATGGGTGCTCCCCGCTAAAGGCACACCGTGGACTGCCCAGGATGGGTGACAGCCACTTAGGCATCACTCTGAATCCTCTAAGCCTGGATGTGCTGCTTTCAGGGGCTGGCTGTGGAGGAGACAAATAGACAGCAGTTGACCTGGGTGACAATATAGCACTTTGAGATTGTTAGCAACCACCAAAATTTACAAAGTCTATCAACTCCACACACTGACAAATCTGAAGTACCGATGAGGAAAGAACACCGCTATCTTCTTTGGAAGATGAGCAGAATCAAGGCCTAAGTCCCAGGCCAGAGTCTATTCCCAGGACAAGAAGGAAGTAGTCAATCCATTCCATTTTAGCTTGTTGTTGGTTGTCATGGAGTCGATTCTGGCTGTCTCCCGGCAACCCCATGTGTTTTTAAGTCTTTCAGAAAGAGATCATCAGTCAGGCCAGTTTTCAGAGGCACTTCTGATGAGTTCAAACTGCCAACCTTTTGTGCCAACCAGCAACTCCTCCATTTTTGCTTCTAAGGCTCAAAAGTACCTTTCACCTGGAGGAATCCTCTGTAACCAATAGATGCGGGCTACCAGTCACCTCAAACAGCCAAGGGAGCCAGAGTAGCCTCTCTTACTACATGGGGATTAAGATGAGGATCCTTGTGGATAAATGCAGCAGCATTGGCCTCACCCTGCACCCTTGACCTTCCACCGTTCTGGGTCTATAACAAGGCACAACTCAGAACTTGAGATGACATGATAGCTCAGAAGTTGGACAAGAGGCTCTCAAATCTCACGTACCAACAGGACATAGAGTGGGCCAAAGCAAGGAGGCAGAGGGGAACTGAGATGTTCAGGACACTTGTTCAGGAATCTGCTCACTCTACATTGGCAAGATGATGTAGCTGAGTCGCCCCAGCAGAGCTTTGGTGAACTAAACAGATGTACCTCTCAACCTGGGTGGGACATACGAGGGGCCGTTTATATGGGATCAAATAGGAGGATTTTGGTTCAGTCTTCCAAGGAAAAAGGGCGAAAATGGAGCAGAGAAAGGCTGGAACAGCTGACACCACACTAGCATAAGTGAACTCTTATGAAGAATTCAATGCATCCAAGTTCAACCCTGGGAGCTTCAGTAACTAGGGAATACCTCTCCTTTAGGATCCTCTTCTTCCTTGAGCTGCCCCAGTCTGTCCTTGATCAGTCAGGACTACCTCTGGACACAACAATGAGTACCCCACCTCCCCACCTCACAGTGGGAACAGTGGAATCCCTGAGACCAGCAGCCAATATCCTTCTGCTATGCTGACGTTTTGAGTTGACACTGGAAAAATGACATCAGAATTATGTAGAGGCGAAGGAAGGATGGATATTACTAGACCTCAGAAGACAGGTATCCCGCAAAGATTTCCCATTTCAGGCATCGAGTTACACACCCATATGTGCTTGGACAGGTAGGAGGGTGGCTTTATTTTATAAACTGCTCAAAAGCACAGGCTTCAGAGAACAGGGATATGGACCGGCAAAGTCGTTACACCTTTATACGCAACCCTGTGCTTCTCTACTGACCCAGGGCATTTTCACTGGGAGACAGGTCCCTTTCCCCCTACACCCAGCCCACCAGCTGGAAGCAGAAGCCATATGAAGAGGTTTTGAGGAAATCGTTCTGTCCTGCTTGTCTCCATCTGAATGGGCTCTCCAAACACATCCTGGACCTGGACAGAGGCAGAGTTCAAACCCAGCCTGTGTTCTTTCAGGCTGTTGGTCTCCCTGGAGAGTTCAGAAGAGAAAAGGAAGAAGGTTCCAAATAAAGTTCTCCCAAGACAAGGCAGACGGTTTACATTCTCTAAATTGAAAAATGCAGCAAAAGATGTTTTCGTCCCAATTTAAAAAAGAACAGATGTGAATGTTATACCCGTTTCTGGGAGACTCCTGACTGTACTCTGTTTAAAGATTGTAGAGGCGGGTGGTGTTCTCACGCAAGATGGCCAAGGTGTGCGAGAGCGGCTGGTCTTTGACTCTGGCAATCTCTCGAACCGTGTGCAAGGCCAGGCCTGGATGGGCATACTGGCAAAGGCTTTTGGGAACCTGGAAGACATCAAGCATTCAAAACATCACTGTGCCTTCTACGCACAAGCATGACACAGAAGTGCCCTCCCTGTCCCTTCCCCAGCGAGGACCTCTTTGGGGCTACCCTGTAGAGATCCCTTTACCTGCAGGTGCAGGGAGAATCCTAGTCATGGGGGGCTCTGGGTGAGCAGGGTCCCACGCTTCCTTGGACTACCCTCTACAGGGTAGGGCTTTGCACTGCCTGGAAGAGAGTGGTTACCCTTCAGCTTCTCGTCCCCCTAGACTTGTGGTTCTGCCGAGCAACAACAGGGAGACACCTACACGGCCCAGGGTGGACTCTGGAGGTCACTGGGGCACTGGCCCAGCCAGCCTTGTGAGCTTGCCCCCCACCTCCCTACCGTCTCCCCTCAGTGCCTCAACTCAGCCTGAGGACACCCCTACCTGGCGAGGGAGGAAGTAGGGAGCGTCTGTTTCAACAATGATTCTCTCCAGTGGGATCTGCCTCAGAGCCTCCCGGGCCTCCCAGGCGGAAGAGTACGTCAGGACTGCAGTGAAGCCCACGGACATGTTGGGAAAGTGCTTCAGCAGGGGCTCGATGACTGGGTAGCTGCCAGTGAAGCAATGCCTGAGGAAGGACAGTTCTAGGTCAGGGCTATCTCATAGACCACCCCTTAGAAATGATTTTGTTTGGAGAAAATCCCAGAAATGAAAAAGACTGCATCCAAGAGAAGGTTCCACAGTAAACACAGACATGACGGCTACCACACCCCACACGTAAGACTCACAATAACACTTGGTGGGGACACTCACCAACCAAGAGATTAGACTGCAGATAGATGCAGCCACCATGACAAATACAGAGGAACAACACAGGGGCAGGGCATGTCAGTACATAAAAATAGCAGAACTGAAAACTGTCCCTTCTCACACTACAATGACAGTATGTGAAAAGTATGTCCCTGTAGTCAAATGAACTGGAAGAAAGAAAAAAAAAAAAGAATGCATTTTCCTCTTCCTTTGATATCTGCTCATGTTCTTGGTACGATATATATTGTTAAGCAATCTGACAATTCAGGACTTCTTCCAGACACACCACCTTGTTGTACTATCTTAGCCATGGTCTACCCTGTAGGTTGGTTGGTTGGTTATGTGCCGTGGAGTTGGTTCCGACTCATAGCGACCCTGTACAGGTTTTCTGAGTAGAGTTGGCCCAAAATACAGTAGTGGAATTGTCTCCCAAGAGCCTAGTGCCTGTGCCTCATCTTGCTGAGGTGCCACCACTGCCAGAGGTCAAAGACTGCACACATACTCTGCCGAGATAACCAAATGCAGCCATGTGACATCAGGCAGCCCTTCCCACATCGGCTACCTGTCAAGGCCTACTGGTGGTCCTAGACTCTGATTTGTCAGTTAACCCTCTTGCCCATCACCTCCTGACCCCTTCCCTAGCCAGGTTCAGTGACAGGACCGTCCTCTGGCCCCCCTAGTCCCATGCTCTATGTTGAAATCACAACTGACATGTTTGTCCCCTCACAGCACCTCCAGGTGTACAAGAGCCAAACCAAGGCCATGGAGATGCAACACAACCTGGACTCCAATGCTAACTGCAGGGGCAAATGAGCTTTCAAACTCAAGAAAAGAACGTGTCCTTTCGGGCACTGTGGAAGGTTCTGTGAGCTGAGCCACTGGGTCCCCTAGTAGCCACTCCCAAGATCAGCAGCCCTAATTTCAGTGTTTCACCCAGGACAAGGGTCTTTCTAAAGCCCCCTTTTACACACTGGGGCTTTAGTGTATTAGCTTAAGCCATAGGAAACTCCTTTTTGGAAAGTGAGAGAATAAAGGTCAAATATCAGAAATTCTGGACTGCTAACCATGTGTTGCTAAGCATGGGGCCCAGTGGTTGAGCAACACAGAGTAGCTATGCGTTAGAACCAACTTGACAGCACAAATGAGTCTTTAGGAAAAATAGTACATAAGGACACATTATCATCATTGCTCTCTTCGTGAGATTTCCCCTCCCCCAACTGTTGTTGTTGTTATGTGCCATTGAGTCGATTCTGACTCATAGTGACCCTGTACATGGTTTCCGAGGCTGTAAATCTTTACGCGAGCAGAAAGCCTCATCTTTCTCCCGCAGAACAGTTGGTAGTTTCAAACTGCTGACCTTAAGGTTCACAGCCCGATTCATAACCAGTACGCTACCAGAGCTCCTTCCCCCGCCCCCAACTAAACAGAGGGAAATGTTTATTTGATTTTCCCACTGACATTGAAGTTCCAGCTCCTAACCTATGGATCTTGTAGTCAGAGGGCACAAATTTTTTCATGATGTCCAACAGATCTTCATCAGCTTCTCGGCAGTGGATCACCAAAGGCTTCTTTAGAGACACGGCCAGCTGCAGCTGCCTCTCAAACACCTGCAAGGTAACAAAGCAACACCACCTGCTGGTTAGAACCACTGCACAGCACTCAGGCCGGTGAGCAGCCCCCCGCCATCTCCAGGTCTTATTTTTAAACTAGACAAAGAATAATAGCTAATGTGTACTACTAAGTGAGTACTTACTAGAGACAGGCAGTGCACTTAAAGCACTAGTGTGCATACACCAGTGAGTCCTCACAGCCACCCTACTTCTAACATGTAACATGACCGCATCCTCTCCCACTCAACCTCCCCGACGTAGCTACTAAGTAAGTACTGAGCTGCCCTCTTGTGACGCCCACAAGAGGCAAGAAGTTTGAAGAGATTTCAGTTTCAACTTCTAAATTCTACCTCTAAACAATTTTTCTTATGGTAGCTAAATAAGCGATTGCATTCATGCATGGGTGTCGTTACCCACTGAGGATTGGCTCCAGGACCCCCACATAAACAAAAATGGCATAGTACTTGCATATAACCTACACACATCCTCTCTAAATTACTTATAACATAACAACATCATGTAATGCTTTTTCATGCTATGTAGTAAATAACCCTTTATGCTCCCTCTTAGCATTTGCAGGGATGGCTTTGACCACTTAATTGTTATCCACCCCTCAAATATTTTCCACTCAGGGTTGACTGAATCAGAGGATGGGGAGCCCACAGACACAGCAGGCTGACTGAATGGCCTTAGGGGTGGAGCATCACAAGGTTCTTAACAAAGCATTTTTATATAGCTAATGAAACTGGACAACTTTTACAAATACAACATTCAGAATGACTCTTTAAAATTTTTCCTAGTACTTTGTTGTAGTTGTTAGGTGCCATAGAGACAGTACTGTCTCATAGTGACCTTATGCACAGCAGAACAAAATACTGCCCGATCCTGGGCCAACCTCACTACTGTTGCCACACTTGAGCCCACTGATGCTGCCACTTGGTCAATCCATCTCGTTGGAGGTCTTCCTCTTTTTCTCTGACCCTCCACCTTATCAAAGATGATATCCTTCTCCAAGGACTGGTCCCTCCTGACAATATGTCCAAAGTATGAGAGATGAAGTTTGGCCATCTTGGCCTCTAAGGAGCACTCTGGCTGCACTTCTTCCAACATGGATCTATTGGTTCTGTTGGCAGTCCATGGCACTTTCAAGATTCTCTTCTAACACCATAACTCAAAAGCATCAATTCTTCTACGGTCTTCCTTATTCACTGTCCAGCTTTCACTTGTATATGAGGTTATTGAAAATACCATGGCTTGGGTCTGGTGCACCTTAGTCCTCAAGCTGACTTCTTTGCTCTTGTGCAGCAGATTTGCCTAATGCAATACGTCGTTTGATTTCTTGACTGCTGCTTCCATGAGTGTTGATAGTTGATCCAAGTAGAATGAAGTCCTTGTTACTTCTAATATACACCACCAATTACTGTTTGCAACTTTTCAAAAGATAATTAACATTAAATGTATAATGCTTTGTATAAGACACCAATTTCAAAAGTGGTAAAATACAAAGCAAATGAATTAGAATGGGGGGTTGGCTATCTAGCTTATGCACTCACCAAGAAGCCAGCAGAAAACAGCAGGCATGAGTGGCAGGTAGTTCCTTTCCTTACTCAGCACAATTACTCTCTCACTTTGGTTCCCCACTGACCCATTCTTTCCCGAGATCCCAGAGTTACTCAGCCTCTCTTGCATGCTTGTTGTTGTGGTTATGTGCCATGGAGTCGGTTCCGACTCACAGCGACCTTGTACAGGGTTTCCGAGGCTGTAAATCTTTACGGGAGCAGAAACCCTCATCTTTCTCCCACGGAACAGCTGGTAGTTTCGAACTGCTGACCTTGCAGTTCGCAGCCTGATTTGTAACCACTATGCTACCAGAGTTCCTTCTTGTTGTTGTTATGTGCCGTGGAGTCGATTCCGACTCAGAGTGACCCTACACAGGGTTTCCGGGGCTGCAAATCTTTATGGGGGCAGAAAGCCTCATCTTTCTCCTGTGGAACAGCTGGTAGTTTTGAACTGCTGACCTTGAAGTTAACAGCCTGATTCCTAACCACTATGCTACCAGAGCTCCTTACACCTCAACAATTCACTCCAGTCACACATGACTAGCAGCAGAGGCAGCCCAGACCCAGCTCAGCCAGCCAGAGTAGGGAAGGGCAGGCCGGGAGCCTGAGCCTGTGCTCCAGACCTTCTGGCCCCAGAGACCAAGGAATCCCGGTCTTCCTACTGGCTGCCCTACAGAAACTACCCAGCACCTAATTACTAGGGGTCTTTTCTATGAACACACAGGGAAGCAAGGAAACAGTTAAAAATGAGTTTCTGTTGGTAATTACTGACTTTTTCCAGTTTTCAATCCTTCTAGAAAAAAATTGGTAACAGAAACTATGTCCTTTCTTATAATGCAATGTCCTGAAACTCTATCACTAGGCCAGATACAGCCCTTCTAGAGATTTTTTCCTTCCCTTTGCAAGATAAAATATTCAGCAGGACGTAGCAAGAAAAAATGCAAATCAGGGCAAACACCAGCCAGTGCGGCTGCCAGTTGCCACTTCCTTTTTTGGTGCTGGGCTTTAGATTTACAGAGTATTTGCACTTCCTCTCTCCAGTGAGAAGCCTCTAGCGTTCTCCTGTAGAAATTTATCTTTTTCTTCTTTAAATTTATTTCTTCCAAATAGCTTGTACCTTGGTTCATGATTTTCTGGTCTTCACTAACAACTCACCAAGCCAAGATACTTGTCTGAGTTTCCACCTATCTGCTCCATGCCACAACATCGAGTTCAAACTTATCAGGTTACATACTCTATGCGCTTGCATATACCATCTGATAGCAAATAATGCAACCAAGGAAGAAATGAGTACAAAACGCGCAGCACACTTCTTGGACAGCACAGACATTCAACAAACATCAGTCACAGAACTCAATTGTGCTGCAGGATAAGCACTAGACTGCTAAGCACAAAGTTGACGGTTCAAAACGCCAACTGTATCTCAGAAATCTTAAATAGGGTCGTTATGAGTCAGAATCGACTGGACAGCACTTGTACAGGAACCGCTGGTGGGTTTGAACCACCAACCTTGCAGTTAGCAGTCCAGTGCTTATTATACCGTGCCACACAGACTCCTGAATACAGACCGTCAAAATGTATACTTGTAGCCATTCTAATGGTTGGACACTTGACTAAAAAGTTGACAGTTTGATCCAACCAGCGATACCGGGAAAGGAAAAACTTGGCCATCTGTTTCTCAAATATCATCTGTAGACAAGTTTCACATAGGGTCACCATGACTCAAAATCAACTCAACAGCACCTGCTTAACAGGTCCTTGTTAACTTAATCCGAAAGCAGCTGCCGCAGACACATCTCCAATGCTTCTCATTTAAATCAACTATTAAGCCTTACATGCTTATTGGCTGTTATGCAATCATTGAATTGCAATCTGTATCTAAATGTGTAAGAAGGCCTGGAGCTCCTGTTGTTGTTGTTAGGTGCCATCTAGTCTCTACTGACTCATAGAGACCCTGTGCACAGCAGAATGAAATACTGCCCGATCCTGGGCCAACCTCACTACTGTTGCCATGGCTGAGTCCATCAATGCTGGCACTTGGCCAATCCATCTTGTTGGGGGTCTTCCTCTTTTTCTCTGACTCTCCAACTTACCAAACATGATATCCTTCTCCAACAAATGGTCCCTCCAAGGTATGAGAGATGAAGTTTGGCCATCTTGGCCTCCAAGGAGCACTCTGGCTGCACTTTTTCCAGCATAGATCTGTTTGTTCTTTTGGCAGACCACGGTACTGGTCTCCTCCAACACCATAACTCAAAAGCATCAATTCTTCTACGGTCTTCCTTATTCACCGTCCAGCTTTCGCACGCATATGAGGTTATTGAAAATACCATGGCTTGAGCAGGCGCACCTTAGTCCTCAAGCTGACATCTTTGCTCTTCAACACTTTAAAAAGGTCTTGTGCAGCAGATTTGCATAATGCAGTATGTCATTTGATTTCTTGACTGTTGCTTTCATGAGTGTTGATAGTAGATCCAAGAATGAAGTCCTTGACAACTTCAATCTTTTCTCCGTTGATAAGAATGTTGTTTATTGGTCCAGTGGTGAGGATTTTTGTTTTCTTTACATTGAGATGTAATCCATATCGAAGACTGTGATCTTTGATCTTCATCAGTAAATGTTTTACGTCCTCTTCACTTTCAGCAAGCAAGGTTGTATCATCTGCATATCGCAGGTTGTTAATGAGTTTTCCTCCTATCCTGATGCCACGTTTTTCTTCATACAACCAGCTTCTCGGATTATTTGCTCAGCATACAGGTTGAATAAGTATGGTGAAAGAATACAACCCTACTGTACACTTTTTTTAATTTTAAACCATTCAGTCTTCCCATGTTCTGTTCGAACAACTGCCTCTTAGTCCAGGTACAACAGATTCCTCATGAGTGCAATTTAGTGTTCTGGAATACTCATACTTCACAATGTTGTCCATAGATTGTCATGATCCACACAATCGAAAGCCTTTGAGCAGTCAATAAAGCACAGGTAAACATCTTTCTGATATTCTCTGCTTTCAGCCAAGATCCAATGGACATTAGCAATGATATCCCTCATTCCACGGCCTCTTCTGAATCTGGCTTGAACTTTTGGAAGTTCTGTCAATGTATGCTTGCAGCCATTTATGTATCACCTGTAGTAAAACTTTACTCGAATGGGATATCAAAGATATTGTCCGATGATTTCCTCATTCTGTTGGGTCACCTCTCTTTGGAATGGGCACAAATACGGATCCTCTTCCAATCAGTCGGCCAGATAACGGTTTTCCAAATTTCTTGGCAAAGATGAGTGAGTGCCTCCTGTGCCATCTCACTTTCTTCAAAGATTTCAATTTTTATTCCATCAATTTCTGGTGCCTTGTTCTTTGCCAATTCCTTCAATGCACCTTGGACTTCCTCCTTCAGTATCATTGGCTCTTGATCATATGCTACTTCTTGAAACCGCTGATCATTAACCATTTCCTTTTGGTACAGTGACTCTGTGTATTCCTTCCATCTTCTCTTGATGCTTTCTGCATCATTCAATATTTTGCTCTTCCCCAGTCGCATTATGAGTGCCTTCCAACCTGAGGGGCTCGTTTTCTCGCACTATCTCTGACGGTGTTTATTTGCTATTCATAAGGTTTTCAGTGACTAAATATTCGGAAGTGGTTCATCACTCTGTCTTCCTAGTGTCTTCGTCTGGAAGCTCATCTGAAACCTGTCCACCATGGGTGACCCTGCTGGTATTTAAAACACCGGTGGCATAGCTTCCAGAATCACAGCAACTCACAAGCTACCACAGTACGATAAACTGACAGATGAGTGGTGGTGGAGCTCCTAGACACCTCTGAAATGAACCAGCAGACCCTCGGTCAGTGGACCACAGCTACCATCAAGGCACAGCAGAGACTGACCCCAATAGGCTGAGACCACTCCAAAGGCCACAGTGATATGCTGGATTCCAAGCGCTCTGGGCCTGCAGACCCAGATGAACAGGCCTGTGACATCTACAAGAAGACAGCGCATGCTCTCCTGGTCTTCAAGAGAAATAACATCCAAAAAAAAAGCTAAAGAGGATAGAGAGAAACACTGTAAACTGATGATATATGGCAGGGATAATGATCAATGTAATGAAACAAGCTATATGAATGGTTGAATGTGAAGCTGATGATGTGCCCTGTAAACTTTCACTCAATGCAAAATAAAAACATTTAATTAAAAAAAAAAAAAAAAAAGAGAAATAACAAATTCAATCTCAGAAGGAGGGCCATGATGAGGGGAGAGTCTCCTCGGGCTGCTCCTTCCCAAATCGGAAACGGCGACTAAAGCGTTCAAGCTACTCTCTCTGCCAAACCGCTATGCTCAAACTACAATGCATGGGAAAGTGTTCCAATGCTAACAGTGGTTATTCTCTTCTTTAAACTTCTTTGCCTTTTCCAAATGTTATGCAATGAGCATACTTAACTTTAAAAATCAGAACAAAAATATATTGCTTGGCTGAACAAAAACAAAACAAAACAAAATGCTTCCCAAGAAAGCAAGCTACTGTTTTGCCATGTATAGCCATAGTCATTAAGAAGTCACATGTAAGTACTCGCCCTACCTCTTACCTACTAAAGCTATAGAATCAGAAACACCTTGTGAACATCTGACACCTCGATGGTCTGGAAGGAGCAGTTCAACATTTAGTGGCTCCAGGTTCTTTAGTTCCCACAGCAGAGAAGCTCTACCGTTAGGTCTCAACAACTAAACGAGGAATTAACATGGGAAGCAAACTCAAAAGAACCTCATTACCTTGTGCTGTTCAGGGACAGGCGTGGTGCACTTGTAAGAATAATCCAAGCCCATTTCCCCAAATGCCACAGCCTTGGGGTGCCTTAAGGCTTGCAAAAGATTTCTTTCTTGACTCTCACTGTAGTAACGTGCAAAATGAGGATGACAGCCAAAGGCCCCCCAAACCAGATCCTCTTTCAGCAACTCCTCCCACAGGCAATCTGTGAGGGTCCGGGGGTCACAGAAGTCAGAGATGCAGCCCTGAAACTCCTTTGGGAAGGAGCTGCTATAAATCTTTCTGAACTTGGTAAAGGTCCCTCTGAAAGACAACTTGGAGTAGAGCATATCCAGGTGGCAGTGGGTGTCAATGAAGCCCTCCTCAAGACTCTGCTCCCTGTGGCTCCGGGGCAGGGAGCTGGAAGCATGTCCTACACAAGGACGTGGTGGCGTCTCCTCCTGGAATGTTCTTTTCTCCTTCACCTCTTCATCTTCCAAACTTCTGAAGAAACAAAATGAACGTGAATTCTGGGATCTGCCTTCATCAGTCACCTCCAGGTCTCTGGAGGTGTTTTGGGAGTTCAGTGTAGAATTGGAAGAGTAATCGCTTAAGAGGCTCCGGCTGCTCTTCCCACCCTGGGACGTGTCATTGCTGCTGCCACCCATGGACGGATAGCTGGAAGGCTTGGGACTATTGGTCCAATAGCTGGCGTAGTCACACCAAGGACTACTGTATAGATGAGGTGGGTACATGACGAAGTCACTGGCAAAGGTCACAGGCTCAGGAATCACCGAGAGTTTCAGTGAGACCGAATCCTCCTGAGAGAATCTGACTGTGGAGATCTCATCCACATCCGACCAGTCGCTTCCTGAAGAAGGGTGCTCCAGCACCACCTCCCTTTCTCTCTGCTGCAGAACAGAAAAAGAAACAATGGGTTAGTTTTCCCACATGAAGACAGCCTCCATCCTCAGTCACCCTGTTAGCCTGGCTACCATGAAGCCTTGCTCAAGAGCTCACCTGATCTTCTAGAAAGTGAAACTCAGCTTACATTGCAGATTATAGCTATTAACAATCACAAAACAAACCTGTGACCATGGCCTCATAATGCCACCCCCCAAAACAGCTCTACCTGCATTCCCTTTACCAGTGACCTCTCTTGAGAAAAAGTGTTCTCTAGAGCACACTACTGGGGATTTTAGAGAAAAGCAGTGCTCAGCAGCTTAACCCTAACAACATGTCTCCAATATATTTGAAATACAAAGTCACAAGAGCAGTGGCTTTAAGGCATGTCTGCCTGGACACAACTCCTCATTGAGAGCTGGGTGGGGTCTATGGCCCCCACCCTTCAATCTGGGCTGACCTAACTGCTGTTAGCCAATAGAATGCAGCAGAATGATGCTGTGTAACTGTCATAGCTAAGTTCAGATCTAGCCTTGCAGCTGTGCCTGGTTTCATGGCAAGCTCACTCTGGAGGAAGGCAGGCAGCCATCCTACAAGTGAACTTCAAAAAATTTGTGGAAAAATTCTTTTACCTTTTAGTGTTAGTTTCCCATGAACTTTTTGAAGTTCCTCATATAACAAGCCAGGCCATCCAGAGACCACCTTGCTATACAGTCCACCACCCAGCTGAGTTACCAACTGCCAGCCAGCACCAACTGCCAGTCCTGTGAGCAAGCAACTTAGATGTCCAGCACAGCAGGACTTTCATGTAACTACACCCCTGCAATGTCCAAATGGGACACTGTTGAGGATAGCTCTGGTGCAGTCCTTTTAGAATTACTGACTCATAAAATAGCCACACACACACACATAAAAAAACAAAACAAAAAACAAAGCATTGTTTTAAGCCACTAACAAACAGTAATGGGAACAATTACCAAGAGACAACTTCAAGAACATCATACAGGAAGAAAGTTAAAGCTCATTAAGAAGACAAGAAAAAAGGAAAAGACTAAAATGGATGTCAGAAGATACTGAAACTTATTCTCCAGCATAGAGATGCTAAAGCAAATGGAAGAAATGAGGAGGTTAAAAGAGTTGAACAGAAAATTTCAAAGGGCAACTTGAAAAGACAAAGTCAAGTATTATAAGCCAATGTGCAAAGACTTGGAGTTAGAAAACCAAAAGGGAAGAACATGCTCAGTATTTCTCAAGCTGAAAGAACTTAAGAGGAAATTCATGCCTTGACTTCCAATACTGAAGAATTCTATGGCCAAAATATTGAATGATGCAGAGGGCATCAAAAGAAGATGGAGGGAATATACAAAATCACTATACCAAAAAGAAATGGTTGATGTTCAACCATTTCAAGAAGGAACATACGATCATGAGCCAATGGTACTGAAGGAAGAAGTTCAAGGTGCAGTGACGGCATTGAAAAAGAACAAGGCTCCGGAATTGATGGAATAAAAATTGAAATCGTTCAACACATTGATGCAGCACCTGATGGAATAAAAATTGAAATCATTCAACACATTGATGCAGCACAGGAGGTGCTCACTAATCTATACCAAGAATTTGGAAGACAACCACCTGGCCAGTTAATTGGAAGAGATCCATATTTGTGCCCATTCCAAAGAGAGGTGACCCAATGGAATGAGGAAATCATTAATATCAACATACAAGTAAAAATTTGCTGAAGATAATTTAAAAATTATTGCAACAGTATATAGACAGGAAACTGCCAGAGATTTAAGCTAGACTCAAGATGAGGTAAAACAATGAGATATCACTGCTGATGTCAGATGGATCTTGCCTGAAAGCACAGGATACCAGAAATATATTTACCTGTGTTTTACTGACTATGCAAAGGTTTCGACTGTGTGGATCGTGACAAGCTATGGATAACATTCTGAAGAATGGATATTCCAGAACATTTCATTGAGGAACCTGTATATAGACCAAGAGGTAGTTATTCCAACAGAAAAAGAGGATGCTGAATGGTTTAAAATCAGGCAAGGTGTGCGCCAGGGTTGTAGTCTCTCACCGTACTTATTCAATCTGTATGCTGAGGAAATAATTGGAGAAGTGGGATTATATGACTAACATGGTATGAAGACTGGAGGTAGATTTACCAACAACCTGCAGTATCAAGATGATGTAACTTCACTTACTAAAAGTAAAGTTGACTTAAAATACTTATTGATGAAGATTCCACAGCCTTCAGTATGGACTGCACCTCAATGTAAAGAACTGGTCTAATAAATAACATCATGATAAATGGAGAAAAGGTTAAAGTTGTCAGAGATTTCATTTTGCTTGTATCCACTAACACTCATAGAAGCAACATCAAGAAACCCGACGATGTACTGCATTAGGCAAATCTGCTACACAAGACCTCTTTAAAGCGTTCAAGAGCAAAGTTTGAGGACTAAGGTGTGCCTGACCCAAGCAGTGGTATTTTCAATAGCTTCAAATGCATGTGAAAGCTGGACAATTAATAAAGAAGACCACAGAAGAATTGATGCATTTGAGTGATGGTGTTGGAGAATATTGAAAGTACCATAGACTGCCAGAAGAACAAATAAATCTGTCTTGAAAGAAGTACAGCCAGAATATGCTCCTTACAAGCCAGGATTGTGAGACTTTGTCTCTCATACTTCAGACATGTGATCAGGAGGGACCAATCCCTAAAGAAGAACATTATAATTGGTAAAGTGAAGGGTCAGCGAAAAAAAGGAAGACCCCCTCCCCACCCAGTCCCGCAATGAGATGGACTAGCACAGCAACGGGCTTAAGCGTAACAACAATTCTGAGGATGGCACAGGACCAAGTAGTGTTTCGTTCCATTGTGCAAGGGTCACTATGAGTCAGAGCCCACTCAACAGCGCCTAACAAAACCAGCAAAGTTTTTTATATAGATCAGAGTTGGCTAGTGGTTACCAGAAGTGGAGGGAGAGAGAAGGAAGTCACTGCTTAAGGAGCACTGAGTCTGTGACTTCTGAAGCTGGTGAATCAGACCAATCACCAGCTCACATCCCAAGACCTGGAGGTGAGACAGAGGCGAGCTGAGTTAGTCAAGCAAAGGAGCACCCTGACCCTGGAATCATCAAGATGGAAACCCCACACAGGGTGGTAGTGAGTCAGAACCAATTCCACAGCACGTAACAACCACCTAGTGACGATGGTGGTAGATGTGTGTTGTCGAATTGGTTCCGACTCATAGTGACCCTGTATGGGGTTTCCAAGGATGTAAATCTTGATGGAAGCAGAAAGCCATGGGGGCTGCTCATGTAGTGCTATAGCACTTTAGAAAAGCAGGACATTTGGGGTATCTTTGACGTCAACTCCACCTCACGGGGGCCAGCCTGCGCACTGATCCTTCTGAAAATACCGCCACAACATAAATGTTCAGCCTGGCAAACAGGACTTTGGAAAGTGCATCCACACAATAGAATTCTAGGCAGCCAAACAAAATGATGATCTATACAATGGAAGTAGGTTCAAAAAAAAACCTAGTTTTGTGGAATTTCCAATTAAACATAAGCATATGGTTTTTGCCTTTCCCACTCAAAAGCCATTCTAAAATGGCAGGATGCAGACTGATTTTAAAAAGCATACAACCTCCAAAGAAGAAAGCATACAGGAGAATCAATAACCGTAAAGTCAACTGAATGAGTTAGATGCCAGAAAGCAGAAAGTGAAGGGTTACTAGCTAAGCAGAAGAATCACAGCCACAGAAACCAAACCAAAGCACTCACTGCCACCTGGGCAACTCCGACTCAGAGCAAGCCTCTACAGCCTCACCTTTCTCACCAGAGGTGCTAGGGGTTTGAACCACCAACCTTGTGGTTAGCAAACTGGTGCTTATCCTACACTACCACCAGGGTGGCATAGGTCCTGTAGTGAGGAAATCCACAGAAGTTGGATGAATCATACGCTATAGAACCCCAGAAATTTTCAGGAATTGGAGGTACCAGACCTCTTAAAATTTAAGGTAAAGTTGAAAATGAAAACAGAGTTAGTTGAAATTCCATGAAGCCAGACCCCCAGATTACTGCTTCTACTCCGAGCAGCTGTGTCTTCCCCGCACCCAACAGAAACCCCAAGGCTCACTCTCAGAATGTTTGAACCAAGGAAGCTTAGGCATAACTGGCTGAGGTAGGGCAACTTCACATATCAAACAAACACCTCCCAAGGACTCCCAGAAGACCAGCAGCCAGGCATACGCTTCCTAAGTGGAAGAGTGCGGATTTCTCCAGGGAATGAGCAGACCTGGAGGGTCCATCTGCACAGCCAGCTAGGGGCACCACAAAATTACCACCAAAGTCATTACCACTTACCAGTCCCATCCATGCACACAGAACTGCCAAACAGCCCTTCTAAAGCCTCATTTTAAATAGACATAGCCATGACATCTGAGGAAAGCCCTACCACAAAAGACAGAAACCAAAGTCTACAGGGGAAAACACGCACACAGAAACTCAAAAGAAAAATACTAGAGAAAGCAGAAAAAAACTTCACAACAAACCTGAACTCATATTCTCAGACAATAGAAGGTATTGCATCCTCAAAACAAAAAGCAGGATGTTTTATGGAAGGAATACTCTGTAAACCAAACTTAGAAATTAAGTCTGATAAAATAAAAACACATAATCCTCAATCATTCTTAGACTCCCGAGGCAGTACAGTTAACATGCTTGGCTGCTCACCAAAAGATGAGTTTCAAGTCTACCCAGAGGTCCCTCCAGACAAAGGCTGGCAATCTACTTCTGAAACGTTAGTCACTGAAAACTCCAGGGAGCACAGTTCGACTCTGACAAATGCAGCCTCACCATGAGTCAGGGCCAACTTGATGACAACTGGTTCTGATTTAAAAGAATTTTTTTAAAAAGCAAAGACCAAATAGAACAGAAAGAAAAGAAATGTTTAGGAAATAATTAAAGGAGCACAAGAAAACCAAAGGGGGGGAGGGGGATGGTGAACACTACTGTTAATATCTATGAAGAGCAACACAAGAATGGAAAACTATGAAAAAAGTCATTTTAAAAATAAGAGCTTTATGAAATGGAAAAAAAAAAAAAATAGATGTAAAACACTAAACATGTGTTAGAAGGTAAAGTTGAAGAAATTTTATAGAAATTCAAAGAAAAGTACATATACTAGAGAGAAAAGAAAAATTCAGAACATTCACCCAGAAGATGAAGCACAAATCAGTAGGCATTCCAGAAAAAAAAGACATAAGAGGAAAGAAAAACTAAGAAAAAAAATACGCAAAATTTCCCAGAACTCTCTAGGCAAAGGATGAGTTCAACAAACGCACCTTCCTGACACCCTACTTAACAGAGACAGAAGAACAAACAAAAGAATCATCACAACAGAGACATAATACCACAGCAATGGGAAGGACAAGAGAGGACAGCAGGAAACTGTGGACGCTGAAGAGCAAATGGAGAAGTCAATGATAATGGGCAGAAGAAGCTGAGCAAGTTAAATCCAAACTCAGTGGTGAGCAAAGCTGAGAAGCAGCCACATACATACAGCAACGGCTCAGGGACTGGCAGTACCATGGGTCTCTGGATGCTTAAGGGGAAGGTTAAAAGGAGGAACACTGAGTGTCATGGATTACACTGTGGCCCCCCCTGTCCCCCCAATATGTGTCAACCTGGCTAGGCTATGATGCAATGGGACGGTTATGTAGTAAGGGCCCCACATGATCTGATGTGATAAACCAATACCCTTAATCCTACCATAGTCCTAATCCAACATAAGGGAGTTTCCCAGGGGTGTGGCCTGTATCACCTTTTATCCTGTTATTGTTAGTGTTGAGGAGTCACTTCCGACTCACAGTGAGACTGTATAGGGCTTCCAAGAAGGTGGTAGCTTTCAACTGCCAACCTTGTGGTCTGCAGTGCGGCTCCTACAGGGCCCACAAAAGCAGTCTACCCTTTTAATAAGAGATCAAAGGAGAGAAGTGAGCAAAGAAAAAGGGACCTACTGGTGTGGAGCTGTACAATACGCACTGGACTGCAAACCTCAAGGTTCGCAGTTCAAACCCACCAGCTGCTTCTAGTGCCCTTACAGGGTCACTGTGAGTTGGAAATGATCCGACAGCACCTAACCACCACCACATGACCAAGAAAGCAGAGCCTGGAGTGAGTGTGTCTTTTGGACCTGGGCTCCCTTGCACTGTGAAGCCCCAAGATCCAGGAAACGTCGATGCCAGGACGCATGGAGATCTTCAAGGAATGCTGGGCCTACAGATGCTGAAAGGAAACAAGGACCTTTCTCCCGGCCTGAACTCGGACTTCCAGTCTCCTAAACTGTAAGGGAATAAACTTATATTGGCTAAAGCCTCTCACTTGTCGTAGGTAAGTAAGATATTGAGTGAAAGTGGTTTTACAACAAGTTAGGTTGCTAGATTTCATCCCGAGGCTCACAGAAAAGTTGTTTAAAGAGTAAAATAGACGGTTCTCTGAACGAGGACTCAACTCATTCAGGTCTTGATATAAATTCAAAAAGAGGGAGATACACAAACGCTGAGGTGACTAGACTCCCTCCCCACCCACAGTCTTTGGGGAATCCGACCAGCCCTAAAACCCAGGCCTAATTATCACCACTATTTCCCAAAGTTTCTCATTACCAGTGCAAATGGTTTAACGTGCTTAGCTACTAACTGAAAGGTGGGAAATTTGAGTCCATTTTGAGGTTCCTCAGAAAGGCCTGGTGATCTACTTCCCCCAAATCGTCCATTGAAACACCTATGGATAGGTGGTATTGACCCCAAAACAAAGCTCAGACAGCAGGAAGGAGCAGGAAAGAAGGACAAGTGGAAACAAAGAACCCAGGGAGTCAGAGGGAAGAATGGGATTACTCTGAGGAGACTGCAATCAACATCACTAAACATTAAACTCTGTATAAACTGTTAAATGGAAAACTAATGTGCTCTGTAAACTTTCATCCAAACTACAATGAAAAAGTCCAAAAAAAAACCCACACAAAACCCTGTGGAATAGTGTTCCACCAAGATACATATGGGACCACCATTAGTCAGATGAGACTCTACTGCAACTGGTACTGGCAAACATTAACTCCCTGAAGTCGTAACTCCCCTTCATTCCCTCCCCTCAGTCTCTGTTAACCACAATGACATTCTCCTCTATGTATCGGTATATTCCAGAGATTTCATGTAAGTAGGATCCTTTTTTGTCTCAATGATTTCACTAGCAGGTCCTCCCTCTCTCAATCACAAGTAGACAAGCAAGGTGACTGACTTGACACATGAGAATAGTCCCTAATGTGGAAGAAGATCTTGATCAACAGAATGAGAAGGAAAAAAAAAAACCTATTATTAATTTCCAAAAAGAGATGAAACACCAGAGATGTTGTTTTTTAAAAAGGGACAAGTAAGAAAACAAAAGAACGCTAGGATAATAAAAAACACACCAGCTGAACAGTCAAAGTGAAAAGCAGGTTGAATGATAAGAATAAGGAAATCTACAAAATTAAGCAGTAAATGGGCCAAAAAAATGAACGAGTGAAAGGCAACAATATTTAGAAGACCAGTCCTGGAAGTCCAACATACTAATCATAGGGGCTCCAGAAAGCATCAGTAAAGTAATTCAAGAAGTTTTCCTACAACTTTAATGCATGGGTTTCTAGACTGCCTATGGAATGCTCAACATATTGGCTCGTGATCATGGAAAACATCACATCTCTGAAAGCAAAAAAGAGGAAATTAAAAAAAAGAAAGTTAAAGCATAATGTATCAGGAATCAGAACAGCTTCAGACAGCTTAACAACAATACTGGTAATAAAAAGACCAAGAAGCAATGCCCCCCAAATCCCAAATAAGAATGCTTTTTAACCTAGAATTGGAAAGCCAAACTAGTAATCAAGGGGTGGAAGGTAAAATAAAGGCAGTCTCAGACACACACATTTTTCCAAAAACATACCTCCCTCTCACCCTTTCTCAAGAAGCTACTAGAAATAGTAATCTCCTATCCCAAAGTGTTAGAGTAAACCATGACAGAAAAACAAGTGAAGTCACAGAATGCAAAACAGAAGACAATACAGGAGCAATGTGCAGAGACGAGCCAGTGAGCTGGTGGAGAAGATGCCAAAGCAACTGCCATCAGCTGGTTGAAGGAGCAAACAGTCCAGAGCAGAGCAGGGCAACAGAGGCCTTTAGGAGCTAGGCCTCCAAGAAGAAAAATCAAAAGGAACAGATTATTTTAACAGTACTGAGAAAAATGTTATCGCTCTGGCACTCTAGGAATGGATTAGTGACAGGTACAGAGAAAATGGAAGAAAAATAACAGGACAATATTTACCTTCCATGAAAAATAAAATTTTCTTACAAAGGAAATATAATCAGAGTCTATTAGGTAACTCAGCTGTAATTCAGTGATAACATAAACCTTAAATAAAGAATTAGTAAAAAAAAAAAAAATGCATCATAACCTCATAGGGAGGCTGCACAACAGGGAATTGAATGCATTTATGGATTTATATGTTGCTGAAGGTAGATTGTTGTTGTTGTTAAGTGCCGTCGACTCAGTTCCGACTCATAGCGACCCTGTACAGGGTTTCCAAAGGTAGATTAGAGAACTGAATTCTCATCTTCCTTACAGATGAATAAGTCAGGATATGTCTAAAATGGAAAAATCAGTAAAAAATACAGAATTCATTATAAATATGAAGGTAGTTGTTTTTGTTAGGTTCCATGCAGTCAGTTCTGACTCACAGTGATCCTGTACAGGGTTTCCAAGGAGCTGGAACCTCCAACCTTGTGGTTTAAACCAACCTTGCAGTCTAGCGCATTAACCCACAATGCCACACCAGGACTCCAAATATGGAGGTAAGAACCAAGAGAGACAGACAGGCTACCTCTGAGGAGAGGAAGAAAGGAAGGGCAGAGATGCTTTTCCTCGTGAGTTACATTAAAAACTATAGTTTCCCCTCCAGTCCCACTATCTTCTTCTATATCAATAGGAGTTTAGGTATAAATCTGCTCAGATGAAGGTTAATTTTCCAGCCTCCCTTACAGCTAGGTTTCCTCTAAATTTCTAGATTCTTGTCCAGGAAACTGAGCACATTATGTGTACAACTTCTGAACCAACCCCTTTAGATAGAAGGAACACACTTTGCTCCCATTCCTGACCAAAATGTTAATGTCATGTACTCAAATCTCTATCTGTGATCTAAGAATAACCATCTTAGACCACAGATAGAGACTATGTGGAGAGGCAGCAGACAACAAGAGATGGCACCAGGGTCCTTTTTAACGCAAACTAGTTTAATCTACTATTTTTAAAGTCACTGCTATTTTGGCATCTATTACAATGGTTGTTGTTGTTAAGTGCTGTCAAGTCAGTTCTGAGTCACAGTGATCCTGTATAAGGTTTCCAAGGAGCAGCTGGTGGGTTTGAACTGCTGGCCTTGAAGTTAGTAGTCCAGTATGTACCTGTTACCTACTGTAGCCAAACCTGTATCATAAACAAGCATGTAAATCCTAAAAATAAAACACGGCACTACAGTAAGTAGAGAATTATGAATAACTCTAAGAGGGATGTTAAAACACAACCATAGATTTGTTTCCTCAAGCCCGAGTTAAATCAAGTATTAAAAGCATTTAATAACACAAAAGAAGACCAAATATATTTAACCAAGAGAACTGAAAACCCAGATGCCTGGTCTGACATTTACTCACCTTCTGAGTTTCTGAATGGGAGTTGCATTCATCTAAAAATTCGAGTGTAGGAGAGTTTTTATCAATAATTGTCCTTCGGTCCCCAAGTGGCTCCTCCTGGGGCTTCCCCTGAGTGTCGAGGATCACTCTCCTCTCACAGAAGCTGCCCCTCTCCACCACAGTGGTGGTCTCCCCTGCTCCGACCCCAGGGGCTAACTCATCCTCCTTGTGAGCAGCAGAGATGGTGGTACTCCTGGCTGGCCCCTTTTCGTGGGGATGACGTTCGCCTGTGCTGGGTTTTGCCCGGGTGGTAGTCTCGTCCTTCCTTTTTGGCACTGATTTCCCTAGGATGCCCTGGATGGCCTTCAGGTAGATCATTGTAGAGCCTTGGTCTCGAAGTCTCTCCCTCCTCCTTTTCTGGACCTTGTGTGGTTCCTCAGGCCTATCATTTCGATCCTCAGCTTCAGCTGCAAATTCAGAGTTTGTGAAGTTACGGGAACTATTCTTAGAATCAACCTAGAAGAAAAAAAAAAAAAAAAGACTTCAAAAGGATTGCCTTAAAAACAATTTACATATTTGAAGCACTTTGAAAAATTGTAAATCAGTTGTGATTTCACCAAAGAGAAAGCCACACTCCCACTGGTGTTGTGGGTAAGACAATTGATTTTTTTCAGTGCAGCTCTAGATTGTGAATCACAAGGTCAGTGATTCGAGCCTACCAATCAGTTGCTCCTCGGGAGAAAGATGACACTTTTTGCTCCCACAAAGATTTACAACCTCAGAAACCCTATACAGGGTCTCTATGAGTGCAAACCGACTCGACAGCACACAACAGCAATAGTAATGAGAATGGTGGTAGTAAACAACGCCGAATTTCTGCCGTTGCTATTATTCACCTTCTCATGTTCATTCGGTAGTATCCTCATACTGCACTGGGAAGGAATAAACAGATTAACCGCCTAATTATACTAGCCTGCAAGTGCCTTGAAGACAGCAACTATTATATATAGTATCTCAGAACAAACACAGGCAAAGCAAAAGCTCAACATTTTAGCACTGGAACGGTTCTTAGTTCTAAGCCAATCTTACACCTAAGAGACAAGGAAACAGAAGGGCTCAGTGAGGGGAAGTGGCCCACAGAGAAACAACAGTAAGCTCCAATCTCCTGAGTGTCGTGTCACCATACCCCAAGCCTCCTTGAAGTTCTCCGCAAACTGCCTCTTCCAAATCCTAACCTCAGTGTTTGAAGGTGCTTGCATTATGGCAAGACTGCACATGTCAATCAAGAGAGTAACCACTCTTCACCCCTAGAATCTTCTCCCAGTCAGAGGGGAAGTCTCAGCTTCCCCCTCCTTCTCACGGTCCCACACCCACTCACTCCTGAGTCCATGGGAAAAGGAGCCCTGGTGACAACAATGGTTACACACCCAACTGCTTGGTGCTGCAAACCCACCACGTGGCTCCACAGGAGAGACACCCGACAGTTTGCTGCCATTAAGATTAAAGCCATGGGACAATTCAGTCAATTAGCATAGTACAGTTTATTAAGTTTATGCTCTATTCAGTTTGGTAGGTAGTGTCTAGAGTTTTAAAAAGCTTGAGTAGCCGACACCCAAGATACAACTAGTGGTCTCTACTCATCTGGAACAAAAGAGAAAGAAGGAAATCAAATACTCGAGTAGAAAGTAGTCTACAGGACTGTCTACGTGAACCACAGCCTCATCTTCCCAAGGCTAGAACTAGAAGGTGCCCAGCTACCAGCAATATGCATCAGAGCTGCAACAGATGGGTCCTGAGAGAATGGGAGAAAAGCATGCACCAGAACCTCAAATTCTTTCAAACAAAACAGACTTACTCTAGAGCAGCTGAAACTAAAGGAATCCTTAAGGCTATTGGCCTAATAGAATCTTTAAATCTTGAACCAAAACTATCCCCTGAAGTCAGCTTTTAGCCAAATGATAGGTGGACCTATAAAATAAAGAATATCATCTGTGTATACTGTGTTCTTTTAAAAAAAACATTTATATGAGACCAAATAGTCAACAATTACTCAGAAGCAAAGATAAGAAGATAGGTGGGGAGCAGGGAGACTAGGCTACTAAAATGGAACCGTTGTTAAATGCTGTCAATTTGGATCCAACTCATAGTGACTCTGCATAAGATTTCGAGGAGTAGCTGGTGGGTTTAAACCACCAACCTTGTGGTCAGCAGTCCAGTGCTGATCCTACATCGCCACACCAAGACTCCACAAACAGAATTAGAATATAAATAATGAGGATGTGGACACAGTGTGAAGACTATAACCACTGTCACTGAATGACTGCTATAGAAATTGTTGAATAGGAACCTATTTTGCTGTGTAAACTTTCACCAAAAATTCATTTAATTAAAAAAAAACAAAACGATTCTAGCCAAGAAAACTCCGTGGGGCCATTCTGTCAGATGGAGTTGTCATGAGTCAAAAATCTACCGAATGGCACCCAACAACAACAAATAAAACTTGCAATCCTGTCTAACCCCAGACTGCTGCAAAATATCACACACATCTCCCTCAGCAAACCATCCTCAAAAAGCTGTTGCCTGGAATTCTAATTACCCATAAGATATTTTGCAGCCCAAAACGTGCACTTCTAATTCACACGTGCTTGCTAATCCTTTTCTTCTACTTAGGAACAGTTATTTCTTTCAAAGGATGTCCAGCAATAAGGGATTGGTTAAAAGAAGTAAACAGACACATACTCTAAAATACGATGCAACTTTAAAAAATAAAAGAGGTAGTTCTATGTTCGTCCTCCATAACAAGAGTACAAAGTAGATAGTAGAATAGTAAACACACTGTAATCTCTTTCGGAAAGGCAAACTCTGCTGTATAAGTATATATTTGCAAATAAAGTCTGAAAGGGTAAACTGCTCATACTAGCTGTCTCTGGGGAGTGAAGGGAGAAGTGCAAAGGCTCTTATTTTATGTACATCTTGTATTGCTTGAATTTTATTCCCAACAAGTACACAAAATCTTTGTTTAAAAACAATAACACATTAAACTTTTGTAAATACATAAGTATACAAGTTAATATAGTCCTATTTTTTCCAAAGACTCAAATTGTGGGCAGGTTGTTCATTGCAGGAAATGAGCAGAAACGGTGGCTTTCACTTTCATTTTGAGTTTCTCTTTTCAAATTTTATACATGTACGCTTTTTTTTTTTTATATATCCACAGGAATTATCTGGGAAAGGAAATTAGGAGCCACTTTTGTTTTCTGTACACTTTACTACATTTAAAAAAAAAAAAAAAATCTAATAATTACAAAAAAAATGAATCTGATGGCTCCCTGGGTCTGCCTTACAGGTTACAGCTCCAATGTCCCCAGCCCCTGTTCCGACTTAAGTCATCACAGCGAATACCTGTGATCCTGGTCACCACACCCTTTCTGCACGGTCTCCACACGTCCCATTCTTCGCCCGCCACCTTTCAGTTTCAATAAACTCCACCACCCACCCTTTAGGTCCAATAGTCCTTTCTTTAGTTCTCCCCCTCTGTCTGTGGTACCAGCTGCCCATCTCTTCATTTCCCAGACCAGGTGTAAGACAACACAGAAAGGTGAGGTTGACAGCAAACAGGAACACCGCTGCTGCACCTTCTACAGGGCAACCGCTACTCACTCTAGCCAACTGCTGCACCAAGCTGGAATACAGACCCAGAGTTAGAGTCTGATGTTTCAAGCAAAAGCAGAATCTAGAATTTAATACAGTTTTCATTCATTCAACAAATCTTTGTTGAGCTCTATGTGCTAAAGTATTTATAGGAGTCTTGGTATGGCACTATGGGTTAATGAGCTGCAAAGTCATCTGAACCACAAAGTTGGCAGTTCAAGCTCACCAGCTGCTCCTCGGAAACCCTATGCAGGGTCGCTATGGGTCGGAAAAGACTCAAGGGCACTTACCAACATGTGCCAGCAGGTATCATTCTGTAGTCGGGAATTTAGTAGTTGAAACATACAAAATGTCTGCCTCCCAGAGCTTGTATCATAGTTGGTGAAAGAGGGAAAAAACAAAACTAGTGAAATTCACAAAGGTAAGTCAAAAAAGTATTGCTGGTAGAGTTCTAGTTCACACATTCATGGTTTCTTTCAAACAAACATGTTTAAACATGTCTCTGCAATCAGCGAGTGGCCACAGACAAGTTCTCTCAGTTAAACCTGAAGTCTCATTTAGGTCCAGTCAAAACAGTGGCTTCCAAGGGGATCTGCTGAGCCAATCCTATACAAGGCAATGCCAGAGGTCAATTCAGAAGGTTATGGTGCCAATTTTGATATAACGGATATAAGGGGTCATCTTGATAGATTTTTTTCCTAAGGACACAGGATTACCAGGGGGGTTTAATAAAAGTTTTTAAAAATTGAAAACTGCACTAGTAAGAAAAAGCCCAGGAAGGTTACACCAGAGTTTTTTTCCTTCATAACAAAGCATATGCTGATTCTTTAAGGGTAAGCAAGGGCTGTACTATGAGAATTTTGTTGGGAAACCTTACTCCATCCACCCTGAAGTCCTGACACTGCCCCTTCAGACTTCTTTTTGATCCCCAAACTCAAAAAAAATTTCTAAATCCTTCTTGTGATTTTCCAAAAATGTAAATACTACGAGGACCTGTTGTGCTGTGGCAGGTAAATGCCATCGAGTCATTTGTGACTTAGAGCAACCTTGTATAATCTTGCAGTTAGCAGTCCAGTGCTTATCCTACAGTGCCACACCAGGACTCCATGCAAGCCCTATTCAGCCTACAATGTCAATAGAGAAGATCAGGACAGTACATGGGGTTTGGAGAGTTTGGAATACAAGAAAACCAAACCCATTTTTATAAAGTTGAGTCCAGCTCAAAGCAACTCCATGCGTTTCAAAAGTAGAATTATGTTCCATAGGGTTTTCAATAGCTGACTACTTTGGAAGTAGTTCTCCAGGCTTTCCTTCCAAGAAATCTCTGAGTAGACTCAAATCTCTAAACCACTTGGTTAGCAGCCAAGCACGTTAATACACAGACTCTTAGAAAACTGCTAAAAACTCATGGAGAGTATCAATATTTACATATCCTATCCTTGGAAACCATAGGGTCGCTATGGATCAGAATCGACCCAACGGCACTCAACAACAATCCTCATTCAAGGAGTCCTGGTGGGGCGCTGTGGGTTAATGCGTCAGACTGTAAAGCCGTTTGAACTGCAAGGTCGGCGGTTCAAGCACACCAGCTGCTCCTCGGAAACCCTATACAGGGTCGCTGTGGGTCAGAATCTACTCTATGGCACTTAACAACAACAACACCCTCATTCAAAGGAGCTCTGGTAGCGTAGTGGTTATGAGTTGAGCAGCTAACCTCAAGGTCAGCAGTTTGAAACAACCAATCATTCCACAGGAAAAAGATGAGGCTTTCTGCTCCTGTAAAGATTTACAGTCTTAGAAACCCTACAGAGTCACTATGAATTGGAACTGACTCCATGGCACACCACCATCACCACCATCACCACCACCATCTTCATTCAACACCAGTGATCCTTCTAAGATGCAAAATTGACTTCTACTGCCATCAAACCTATTTGACTCACAGTGACCCTAAAGGACAGAACAGAAAAGCCCCATGAGTTTCCAAGGCTGTCTATACAGAAGCCCAGTGACACCTCTTTCTCCTGCAGAGCAACTGGTGCATTTGAATTGCTGACTTTCTGGTTAGCAACCGAGTAACCACTGTGCCCTATATAATTTAGTGGCTTAGAAGAAAATCAACTACCCTTAGAATAAAATTTCCTTAGCTTTAATGAAATCTTCTTGTAACTTGTCACCTCCCAGCTCTCTAGCCTCCCTCCCTTCACACCACTGTGGGGGGATTAGTTCCTGACTAATCCTCCAGCACTCCCACCAGACTACTGGACCACAGCTTTTCCATCTCATGGTTCTAAGATCCAACAGTGTGCTTGGCACACAAAACCCCTCATCCAGGCAGTAAATGAAGGAAGACACAGACTTGAGAGAAAACCAAAAAAAAAAAACAAACCCACTGCCATCAAGCTAATTCCAAGTCAGAGAACTACCCCAGAGGGGTCTGAAACGGTAAAGCTTTATGCGTACAAACATCTCATCGGTTTCCCATGGAGTGGCTGGTGGTTTGAACTGCCGACCCTGTGATAGTGGTTGTTATTCAGCGATATCGAGTCAGGTTCCAACTCGTAGTGACCTTGTTTCTGAGGAGCAGCTGGTGGGTTTGAACTACTGACCCTGTGGTTTATCTATAGCGCTGTCCAGGGTTTCTCTACAGCCCTAAGCCAGGACTCTGATCCCGTGCCTAGCAGGGTCCAATCACTCCAATGTTGTTGGCCGCCACAGAGTCCGGCCCTGACTCACGGTCACCTGATAGATACAAGATACTTTCATTGACTGATTTTCAGAGTGGACTGACAGGCCTTTTTTTCCTAATCTGTCTTAGTCTAGGGTCTGCTGAAACCCGTTTAGCAGCTTAAGGACACAGCAGCCTCCACTGACAGGCAGAGGCTGCCCGTGACGTGCACTAGCCGGAAATCAAACCCAGGGTTCCCACATGAGGCCTTGAGTTCTACCACCGCCCCACCACAAACTGGGTCTTTGCAAGCTAGGCTCCTTGGACCTGAATGGGACAAGGGTGGGTCCATTCTAGGATTAGTGCCACAGAGATTAGTGGTCACCCCCAGAAATTGGGCTTTGGGGCCTGGGATGTGATGGGATGCACCTGAAAGACTAAGAAAAAAATCCATATCCTGACCCTCCTAACATCAGGCTTCACTCCATCTTTAATTGTCACTGGAGGTACATTTCATTAATATTATTTTACATTGTTCCCAAGTCTACCAATATTGTATCGAGAAGGGTTGTTGACAGAATTAAATTGTATGAACAAAGCTCCATATTTGCTTAATTTACATTTAAGTCAGATTCCGGTTTTTTTTTTTTACA